GATTTAAAATCAATAAGACAGTTCCTGTATTACTCCCCCTCTCGCGTCGGCTCGCCTGTGTTTTATCCACCCAACCGCATAAAGAACACCACCAGGACCCGCCATGGCAGTTCCAGGATCAGTTGCTCTATTGGGTATCTTCTGTTCTCTCTAATTCGACTCTGGACTCTTCTAAATGTAGAGCCCTCTTGCCCCATTTGTCCCCTCTTGAGTTTGATCAGCTGTTCTTCTCCGTTGGATTGAGAGCCAACCCCAAAACTTGTCTTAATTTCTTTTACTTTGCGTCCGGTTCCTTCAAGTTTCGGTTTACCATTCGTTCTTATTGTATATTGATTCTTTTGCTTGTTCATTCCAAGTTTTTACCCCCCGCGAGGTTGCTTCTGATTCGTTTGATAGATGGGAAGCTCCCGGTGTCGAATTCGAATTTGAATTCGGATACTCTTCATATTGAGATAGCTAATGCAATGTCAGGTTTAACTTCAGTAGTTGGGCGGTTTGAGTGGACACAAGCGTTTGATTTGTTGATACATGTATACAGCACACAATTCAGGAATCTTGGCTTTGGTTGTGCGGTTGATGTGTTTTATTTATTTGCCCGTAAGGGAATTTTTCCATCGTTAAAGACTTGCAATTTTTTATTGAGCTCTTTGGTGAAGGGTAATGAACTTGAGAAGTGTTGTGAAGTATTCGAAGTGATGTCTCAAGGTGTTTGTCCGGATGTTTTCTTGTTTACCAATGCAATAAATGCCTTGTGCAAGGGAGGGAAGATGGAAAATGCCATTGAATTATTCATGAAAATGGAGAAGTTGGATATTTCTCCGAATGTTGTTACTTATAATAGTATTATTCACGGCTTATGCCAGAACGGGAGATTGGACGATGCGTTTGAGTTCAAGGAGAAGATGACAATAGAAGGGGTAAAGCCAAGTCTTATAACTTACAGTGTGCTTATTAATGGTTTGACAAAGCTGGAAAAATTTGACAAGGCAATGCATGTTTTAAACAAAATGATTGATGCAGGTTTTGTTCCGAATGCAGTTGTGTACAATACTTTAATTGATGGATACTGCAAAATGGGCAATATAAATGAAGCACTTAGGATTAGAGATGTGATGATATCCAAAAATATAACTCCTACTTCAGTTACTTTATATACTCTCATGCAAGGGTTTTGCAAGAGTGATCAAATCAAGCAAGCGGAGAATGCTCTGGACGAGATATTATCACAAGGGCTATCTATAAACCCTGTTACTTGTTTTTCGGTTATTCATTGGTTATGTACTAAGTCTAGGTTCCATTCTGCATTGCAATTTACCATGAAGATGCTATCGAGGAACTTCAGGCCTAGTGATCAGTTGTTGACCATATTAGTATGTGGGCTCTGTAAGGATGGAAAACATTCTGAAGCAACTGAACTTTGGTTTAGGCTATTGGAGAAAGGGTCTCCAGCGAGTACGGCAACCTCTAATGCTCTAATGCATGGACTTTGTGGAGAAGGTAACATGCAAGGGGCTGTCCGGATACTCAAGGAGATGTTGGATAGGGGTTTTCCATTGGATCAGATCACGTACAACACGCTTATCTTAGGTTGTTGCAAGGAGGGAAAAGTTGAGGAATGCTTTAGATTTAAAGATGAGATGACTAAGCAAGGAATTGAACCAGACATCTATACTTGTAATTTCCTATTGCATGGACTGTGCAATGCAGGAAAATTGGATGATGCTATTAAGCTTTGGGATGAATTCAAAGCTAGTGGATTGGTTTCTAATGTTCACACTTATGGGGTATTGATGGATGGACACTGTAAAGCTAACAGAATGGAAGATGTTAAAAAATTATTCAATGAGTTGGTCACTAAGAAAATGGAGCCGAATACCATTGTTTATAATATATTAATCAGAGCATACTGTCATAATGGAAACATCGTTGCAGCTTTTCAACTTCGTGATGAAATGAAAGGTAAGGGAATTTTCCCAACTTGTGCCACATATTCTTCTCTAATACACGGGATGTGCAACATTGGCCGTGTTGAAGATGCAAAACATCTTATGGATGAAATGAGAGGGGAGGGATTGTTGCCGAACGTTGTTTGTTATACTGCATTAATTGGTGGTTATTGCAAGCTGGGACAAATGGATATAGCTGAAGCTACCTTGCTCGAGATGACCTCTTTTAAAATTAAGCCAAATAAATTTACCTACACCGTCATGATTGATGGGTACTGTAAATTAGGGAATATGGAAGAAGCAAATAAACTTTTGAGCAAGATGAAAGAAAGTGGAATCATCCCAGATGTTGTTACTTACAATGCCTTGACTAATGGATTTTGCAAGGGGAAGGACATGGATAAAGCTTTTAAAATATGTGATCAAATGTCCACTGGAGGATTATCTTTAGATGAAATTACTTACACTACTCTCGTGCATGGTTGGGACCGACCTACAGTTACCAGCCAAGACTGATCTAATTTCTGCAAAGGTTCTTCGTTACTTCATTATTTGTTGATACCGTGATAACTGTTTTCTGTGCAACTGATCTGAAAATTCTGCTTCTGCTTCTATATTTGGTTTTTATTTTACCAGTGACCAGATCCCATCCATGAGTATTGTTCTCTTTGTACATTCTGAAATCTTGGAGACTGTTACACCCTCTCTCCTCCGAATGGAGGAGCCAAAAACGAAAGAACCATCTTTAGTCTCTGGAGGTTGGTAGACTGTATTTTATAGTGTAGGCAATTTCCACTTTGTTTATTATATATCATTAGTTTATATGTAGGTTTGATACAGGTGAAGCATATGTTTTGAGAACTTGGTTTTATGCTTGAACAGATCAGGAAGTGCTCAGCTACTATGATATAGCATGTCGAAAACATAAGGCGCTCTATTTGGATCCTCATGGACAGAAAAAGGTCTCAATCAATTGATAATGATCAGGTGGCATTATTTTCTCGACCCAAACCTAGATCGGATCTGGTATGCCATTTTTGTTGTTATATACCTGGCATGGAATGCTGGAACAGGATTTTTCATGACTTGTAATGAGCATGCATAGTGTTGGTTCAATTTTCAGGGTTGAATCTGTACGTAGCTGTTCTCACAAATAATGTCATATTTGACGGTTGTTCATAAGAACTACTTCTATGGAACGTTGGGGTCGAGACATAAATTGCTCAGTTGCATGGACATGTAAGTTCATCTACTCCATCTGATCACTTTTGTACTCTCATCAATCAGTTTGTGCTTTCTGTTATTCTTCTTTGATTTGAGATGCTGTTGCCATTGTATGCGTTTTTGTTGATAAGCTTCACCTAACCACTAAGCATTTGGAATTTCAAGCCTTCTCAGTCTCAGAACTGCACAAGGAATAAAGTATGCGTAATATATGGAATTTCAATTCCACTAAGAACTTGGAATTGTATGCGTTTTTTTTTTAGTTATGGAAGAAAGTTCTGGCTTGTAGGAAATACAAATAAATTAATCAAAGTGAACTCAGCAATCTGGATAAAACTAGTTTAGTTATTATTTTTTTTTTGGAAAAACTGCAAAAGGAAAAAACACCTCTAAACAATATGAATGGTTATAATTGTACTGTCAGATCTATGAATTCGTTTCAATTAAAACCCTATCATTGTAACTTGGTTAGGTTTAATATAACAATTTCTATAATTGCAAACTCATAGCTCAGGGTGATTTAGAGTCTCAGTTTATAATTTAATTATAACAACCTTATAGTTCAGGGTGGTTTGTCCAGTTATTCATATTGCAACTAAAAATGTTATAACGACAGAGTTTAATGACAATGTTTCATAAACTTGACGGTAATTGCTCAAATGGAAAGTTTGAGTGGTTTTAAAAATTTTCCCTTCTGTATCCAGTCTGCAAAACTCTCTGAACCTCTGTTTGCTTTTGCTTTTGCTTCATCTTGAGTAAATCCATGTTCTGTTTACCATATAAATATTTAGCAAATGGCAACTGCGTACTTGTTTCGTCTTATTGCTCATTTGCAATTGTCTTTTTTAAAATTTTTTCCTGAATATTACTTATCCAACTCATCTAATCTCTTGTTTTGTCTTCTTTATTCATTGATCATATTAACAAATATCTCTCTTTATTTGTGATATATTTGATTCCTTTGGTTGGTTTAAGCACAGCCTGCCACAGACTTCCATTCTCGTAGATAAAATCTGATTCCGTAACGAAAAAATGATGAGATTGGTCAGTAATATGAGAACATCTTTTGGATAATTACAACAGAAGAAACCATGAACAAGATCAGAAAATCATGGATAAAACAAAAATAGATGAAGAAGAAAGAAATAATCTTAGAAGTGTAGAAAACCAAAGAAACGCATTAACAATTTCGAGCAGATAAATCAATGTCAATATCTTCTGCATTTGGTTATCAGTCAGAACAGTAAAAATAGATCAATCAATTTGAATATCCTTTTTATCCAATCATTAGTCATTTTTTACGAAAATTAGAACTTATGATAGAGGAGATCAATTTAAATCTAATCAATATTCTAGGAGTTCAAATGCTTATGAAAAAATGTATGTAAATCATATTTGGATGGTATTAGATTAAATATGAATGGTTTGAAATATTCATTTTGAGCAAATAAAATGTGGGGGTGGCTTTGTTGGCAAGAGTTTGTGGTGTCTTGGTTATACCAGATTAGAGGTTCGAACCTTCGAGTGAACTTAATACTAAAAATCCTCATGTCTCCCACGTCCGAGTCTTGGGACGGGCGTGGCTGCTCCAGTATAGGGGGAAAAGTTCCAACTTCTGGTTATGAAGAAAAAAAATGTAGACTGTGAAAGTAATCATGTGAACTATCCTTCTTATGTGTAGAAAAATTTGGAAAGACATGTATCGTAGGATAAGAACTTTGCCTTCTGCTAATGGAAACATTATTCACTCTTGTTTCCTCTGATTTCGCAGTGGTATTCCAACCTACCCAGTTGGTGAATCAGTTACGGCCCCATGGAAGTTGAATAAGCCCTTCATTCTGTGAGTAGCCTCAAATTGCTTAAAAATGTATGTCATAAGATCGACCATTTGGCACAGTTACGATATATCTAATTTTTTATTTTCTTAAAGCAGCTTGTTGATCAATCATCTGATTAGACCAATACCTTCTTGTTTGTATACCAACTCATCAGAAAGCTTGTAAGTACAGTTGATTCTAATTCATAATTTATCACACAACCACAAATCTTCTGCATTTCTCTGTGCTTGTTGTTGATTTGTGAATCTTGGTGTATACCTCCGAATTGGACTTATTAAGGTTAATTGATACAATTGCTGTTTATAAATGGATACTGTCCAACTTAATCGGTTTAACAACAACAAGGCCTGCAGCTTTTGCTCTATTTGCTTTTTGTGAATTCAAAAGCAAAATATGAATGGAGCTAACAGGCCTTTGTTAAACACCATTTTAACTGTTTTCATCGTCAAACCTATTGACTTGCATGTTTACTGCAGCCCCACCACCATCAGGAATGCTTTCGAGGACCTTCTCGTGGCCTTTAGGGTAATAAATTCCAGTTCGAACATCAAGCATCCATGGAGTTGCCTCACCCGTCACATGGCTCTTATTGCTCTTCACTTCCTTGCTTTCTGTTTCCACTCTCTCCCTCATCATATCTGGTGAAGAGCTTTTCCTGTGGAAACCCTTTCGCCCGATCGGTCTGCCAACGAACACAACTAAACTAGTTGGACAAGGTAATGCTCTTTATCGGTATGCTATACGTGTTGTGTTATATATCTCAAATTGTACAAACGAAAACAAACCACATGCAGATTAACCTTAAAACAAATTGTACAAACGAAAACAAACCACATGCAGATTAACCTTAAAACAAATTGTACAAACGAAAACAAACCACATGCAGATTAACCTTAAAACAATCGTATGGAAGTGCATAAAGATTAGAGCATATTTGGAAAGCTTTGTTGATATAATTTTGGTCTGAATTCTAATTAAATGCATATCTTACTGTATGGAATGAACTCTATATCCTAATTCCTAGAGCAGGGGTGTGAGCTGTTAGTATAGATTGACCTTGTGCTAAAATCAATCGAGCCCGACAAAATAGACCATTAAACCATTCAGAACTGAACATAATGACCCAAAACCTATAGAAGCTATTCAAACCAAACAAGCTAATAATTAGAAAACCAAACTGACCAACAATGTGTGATACTTCAAACCGATAGAACTAAGTCGGTTTGCTCAATTTTCTCGGTTTTTTGGATTTCAGCTTGCACCTCTATTGTAGATCACACACAAGATGATGTTGAACATACGGGTAAAATGTTTTCTTTCAAACCTTTTCTTGTAGATGAAGAAAGACAAACTGATAAGCAGAAGAAGCAAGTTTCATTTCTGAGTTGAAGAAAGCTCTTACTTGAAGAACATGGAGTTCATTGTCTGGGCCCCTCTCACAAATGCAGTGGCCATATCCTTCTCCCAATGAGGTCAGTAAAAACTGTGATGAACAATGGGAATTTGCTTCTTTGAATTTATAGGTGAAAAGAGAGGCTATCCATTTCTCTCATCCCAATGAAGATTCTAAACAATGGGGGGGGGGGGGTTGGCTTTGTCCTTTTCACTTCTTATGCTATGCCCATTGCCCATTGCCCACTCCCCTTTGGAGTTGGTTTGTGAAAAAAGAACCTTTAAAGCTCCTCTGCCCATACTCCATGAGCACAAGTTTGGACTTGGGCCTAATGGGCTTTGTGACTTTGTGTTGCCTGGCCCATTGACGAAACAAACCATTGATTCTCAAGTAGACCAAGGATGGTTATAGAAATAATATTATTAAAGTGTAAAGTTATAGAAACAATGATTTAAAAAATGGCTGAATTGATATTGGATCTGACATCTCAAATGTACTAGTAATTCAGCCATTGTTGTAACTTTATTGTAGATTACTCTTCCCATTGATGAATGTTGGAATTGGCTGATGATAAGGCTTTCATGGCATGATACTTTATGAGTCGGTAAAAATTTAGAAGATAAGTAAGTGTATTAAAGAAAAAAAAAATTTGAGAATTTTTTCTATTTACTAGAAATCTGGAGGAAATTTTGATATTTTTTTTTCAGGTAGCTTAATTCCTCTCTAAATTTCTGTTAACTATAAGCTTTATTATAAGTTTATTTTTACGGAGCATAATTGAAAATTGTTAAAACATAAGAGACTAAAATGAAACTTGTTATACAATAGGGGCTAAATTGAAAAAACATCCCAACATTGGGATTAAAACACATATTTAACCTTAAATATAGAAGTCAATTATTAAATTTAACTGATTCATTCACTATAATACTGATTAAAATTGATGGATTTATAAAGGTTATTTTAAAAGTTCTGTAAGAGAAGACCTCCTAACCTATTGCAATTTTCTAGTGGGACTAATCATGTAGCATATGTTCCAATGTCCTAAATAAATAAATAAAAAATTACCATATTCATCGAAATTAATGTCTACCAATTTAATCTGCTACTAACCTAGAAGGGTTAAACATTATGGGGTATTATAGGAATAATCTTCATATCTGTAATAATTTATAAAGATTAAAAAGATATGTAAATATTAGTTTCTAAGTTTTGTGTAGGTTGAATATTTCTTGTAGCTAGATTTTCTCCATAAAAGAAAGAAGTGGGGTCCAACACTTTGATGACAAAATATGATTTGTAGCATCTCTTTCTCACCATAATCTCATTACAATAATAACTTTCAAACTTGAAGGACAGCTGGACGGTGTATTATTGTACGATTACTGCTTAGACCATTTTAGTACTTTTGTTAACATCGATGGAAATCTCGAGATGCCCCAAATATTTGTTTTCTGAAAAAAAATTGTAGAAATAAAGAGAGTTTGTAAAAATTATTCGTTAAAATATAAGCTTTGGTCTTGGAACTTTTAGAATTTTTATTTAGTTTTAAAGATTCTTTTATTTTATTATTATTATTATTATTATTATTATTTTTACTTTAAAAAGTATATAATAAGTCTAGAATTCTCAATTTTATGTTTAATAAGTCTTTCAGTTAACTCTTTTTTTTTCCAGCACTCAAGTGGTGATGAGATTGTACTATCTAAGGTAAAATGTTAATATGATGAAAAAGTTCAAGGGCGTAATATAAAAAAATCTTTAAAAGTTCGGTAACCTATTAGATTTTTCCTTTTTTTTTTTTAATGAGACTCCATCTTGAAACTTATTTGAATTTTAGAATATTTGTAGTTAGTATTCACAATCACGTTCAGTCGAAAGTATAGATTAACTTTATCGATATCATCGACCAACCTTTTGATTTTTTTTTTTTTAAATGGTTACACATGCGCATGGATAACACATAATAATGGAGAAAAGAGGTCCATGGTGGAACTTTCTCACTAGTCTTCCTCAGACATAGGCATTTGGGGGGACCATTTTTCATGTTAAAGCTCGTCTCCTGGATCAGTGGATCCACTCTTCAATTTTAACCAATTTATAACAGGGAATTTTAATCAATTTTCAGAAGTTTTCTCAGAATATTTGTCGAGCTCCACATTTCAAATCTTGATTTTAACATCTCTTTTTATTTTGACTTCTACTCTTTCTTTTTTCAATACAACAAATTGGAGATATAGGAGTTCAAATTTCCAACCTAAAAAATAATAATAACGTGGATGAACTATTTTGGAAATTTATTTTCACAATGTCTACTGTTTACAAATTTTACAGTTTTAGATTTCTCGATTTAAAATTTTTTTCAAATGTCAAATTTACCCTTTATTATAATTAGTCTTTTATTTACATACAAAATATTAATATTCCAAATTTGATTTTGTAAACATTAAATTATTGTGGGACTTAAATCAATCATTTTATAATCCCCTAATTTACTCTTTAATACATTCTACTCAAGAATGAAATTTATTACCAAATATTCAATTATTCTCATAATCCCCAAATTTACTCTTTAATATATTCTATTAAATAATGAAATTTATTACAAAATATTTTTTCATTTCATTATAATTTTTGGCCAAATTTCAATACTATAGTCATTATATCATACATATATATATATATATATTTATATTTATATGAATATATAAACTATATCCGACTACTTTTTCATTTATATAGAAATATAAACTATATCCGACTATAAACTTAAGCAACATACACTTAACAATGGTAATATAAACTATAGCCATTATAACATATCCTTACAAAGATTTTAAAAATTAATTAATATTGAGGTGTAGATATAAAAGAATATATTAGTAAATTTGGTTATGAGTACCATCTTAAATGAAGTTGTTTAACGACAAAAGT